CCATCATGGTGAATTCCTGTTGAATTTATCATGATTTGCAACTGACCTGACCTCATATTCGTCGTTTCATCCACCACTAGTGCTCCGTCAGCGTATACCGTTAGGCGGGTGTACCATTCCATTATCATCAATAAAAAAAAATGTACTGAATTACTTCCTTGGTCGCCTCATGAGTAATAAATAGAATATTTACTAGGATAGGTCGTTTGCTTGGGAATATCAGTCCATTGGGTACATTGTGGAATCACATTCCCGTAATGGTATTTCAAAGCCGATATTATATTGAAACCTTCAAGAGCTCATCCTTTCTTACATGGCCCGGCAACGCACTTGTAATTGCGGTATTGCGAGTGCTCATGGGCGGCGGTAATCCCTTACCATCAGGTGATTAGCCGCAACCTTGTTTGTCCCCTAAATAGATTAACTCAGCCGCTAAAAAGCTATCTTTAGATTGAAGGATGAGATAAGGCAGTAAAATTACAGTACTAATACTTACTTAAGGCATGACATCTCATTACTCCGAAATAGCAATGCAATCACGGGCGTTACGTGATAACGTGATATTCGTAGTGCTGTTCCTGTATATATATAGGAAAGATCTATTTCCGTCAGATAACAATTTTGTCATTAAAATGACAAACAAAATGGTGGTCTCATTTTGTTTGTCAGTTTAATGACAAAAAATATTAATTATTATAATTACTGTTGTTTACGGTTTATATTAAAAAGGATCCCTCATACATCATTTTTTTTACAACGGTGGCAATCAAACCATTCAGGCCATCTGATGGTAAATGGTTATGGATGCCTGAAACACCAGGGGCGTCACGTGCGCGTCCTCAGGTGTTTTATTAAAATCTCTGGTGGATCAACCCCAGCCTGGCACAAGACTAATATTATCAGTATGAATTTTTTTTAAATAAGGTGATACTATATTACTCACTTATAAATAAATTAGTTGTTCTATGAGATATATTGCAGAATCAGTTATTTCAGCAATTTTTTGAACAAATAAAAAGTTAAATCTTCTTAACTAATATTAATTTTTAACTTCAATTCATCGGAGGATAGTGCAACACCAGATCCATTTGGGATCACAGTCCTGAGTATATTATATTTTTCTCTAAATATTATTTTCAATAAACTAACCAATATGAAATGGACTTTCGCCGGAGTTTGAAAATCTTACCAATCTAACTTCCAACCCTCGAAGGGATCGAAAGTAAAATAAATATTATTCTCAGGTCCACCTCAGCGGTAACTCATTGTTCTCCTCGATGGACAATGATAATATAAAATACAATAAGTTATATTGAATTGAGAATACAATACGACCGACCCATGCAAATGTGAGTTAGTAATCCTAATTTAATTTCATTATTAATAACTAGTTTTGCCTGAGGTTTTACCCAGATGAAATTTACTGTAAAGTTTCATCAAAATCCGTTCAATAGTTTTTGCATGAAAGGGTGACACACGTCCATCCATCCATTGTCACAAACTCGCATTTATAATATTAATATGAGAACTCAATTTAATTCACACTGTACCTATAGTCCGAATCTAAGCAAAGCTTGTGTTATGGATACTAGACAACTGATGGAAATATATTTTTTTATTATATTATATGCAAAATCTAAATCAAAATATCGTTATTCATGTATTTAAATCAAGCTAAAAATAACTGACAAGAAACTCAGCTCTTGTAATGTTGTTATATATTATAGGATACACACAGACCAATACAAACAATCATACTTATGAATACAAATGTTTGTACCGTGCGAGGAACTCGTACATGTTAAGAAGTTATTACTTTCCTTGAGTATCTTTGTCTCTCTAGTATATTTGCAGCTTGCTTTACAAGTACTATTCTATATTATAGTTGAGTTGAGCTTAAGTTGAGCTTATAGTTGAGATTTGGTAGCAAAATTACGAACTACTTATTACAGATATCATAGAAATGATAATACTTGGTCAAACAAGGTCGCAATATATTTTGTTCATTGGTTGTCCATGGTGCTGTTCTGTTTGCTAGTAACGTAGTACATACATATTAAACCCAAGTATAGCCAAATTAATCTGTTGTCTGTCTGTCACATGAGGAGAGATTGTGCTAAGCCTCACATAGCAAATATTGATCTTAGTGAACTGAATTTTCTCAGTAATTACCTCATATTTATGTATAATATAATTCTTCTCTCTCTGTGTCAATCATGTAGATTAATTAATTTGTGTAGCAGGGAATAAGTTCTCGGGTCTGGTCTTTTTAACATAACACAAAGTTATATATATAAATCAGTGTCGAAGTTAACACAATAGTTGTAATATGCACATATTAGAATCCAACTTAGCAAAATACGAGCCTATCAGCATCTCTCGAATTTTGTTAACTTCGTTACCAAAATTTCCATCATCACAGAGTCAGACAGAACACACGTGTTTTTTTATAACGTCCAGATTTTAATCTTAACCTTTCTGTCTAACTTAGAGAGATAAATCACTAAACGTTGCTAGCAGCTTGTCCACTATTCTTTTTATAAATTTTGTTTTTTTAATGTCACCTGACTATTTGTCTGTGAGCCCTTTTGCGAATTATATAACTATAATACTATTATTCAGTTTTTTAATTAATACTTGGTATGTTCCCGCACCAGTCACACTAAAATTAAAATCCAAAGTAAAACCCATAAATTATTTCGCGTCAATAAAGACATTTCCGTAATATCGGTCTATTTTTAAATCAATATCACATAAATCAAGCCATTAGATCGGCGCTAAAATGCTGATATTCAGTATCGCAATGTCATAAAGTGACAACATTACATACTGATCTAATAAATGTTGCAGGAGCCCTTACTCCCACCTGTCGTGTTTTATGTCTGATTCCATGCTTTATTCGCGCTCGTAAAAATTGTGTTGAGCTTTTTTTATGTTGTTTCCTTTTATGGCAGCATCCCATTTCAATGAAATAGAATCGAATAGAATTAAAATAGGGCTGCGCGATACTGAAAGCCGTATGTTGGGGACAAACTGTTGCTTCGAGCGATACAGGTTTACTTAACTTTATATGTATCAAGTGTACAGTCATGTTACACTTTATATAATTATTTGAGATGATGATTTGGCATGGGATTTTAAATGTATATATGATATTTTAACGTTAATATTTATATTGAATATATAATCTTATCTGAGACTAAGCAATGCAACTATGGCTAAACTATGGCTAACCCTAAATATGTTTTTTATTCGTTATGTTTATTTTGTATTTTTTTCTAACATCACACTAGTTTGGACTACATCTTACTGTACACTGATGAAAGCTTATTAAATAAATATTATATTATTTAACTTTTATAATCATATACAACAGACACAAATGAACATTTTTTAACAAGAACTTGTTCTTGATTTGAACGGTGTTATAAAATCGATTGAGCTGTAAACAATTGCAGGTGATTTAATTAACATGGTCAGTAAAAGAGCCGCCGGTTACCTACGAATTCCTTTGACGGTACGCCACGGAAATTCTTTTGTTCGTTTACCGTCTAATTAAAAGTTAATTAACGAAATTCAGTCCCTGCCAAATAAACTTGGGCATAATTTAATTCGATCCCAAGTTATCTTCCTTGGGGTAACTTTTTTAATTTTGGTGAACACCAAGAACACTGCGGTTCTGGCAACTGGTGACTGTAATATATTTTTTTACGCCATTAAATCAAAGTGATGGACGGTTAGTATTTAATGAATGAATGAATGAATGAATAAAACTCTTTATTGTCTGTCTCACATAAAGTGTGTTATATTCCATATGTAACAGTTAATGTATCTTCTCGGTTGCCTTTTCCATTACTTTTTAAGACATATTCAAACCTATTCTCAAGTAGTAGTAGATTTATATTGAATTAAAAATAAGTGAAGTATAAGAAATGGGTTTAATCAATGATTTTTTTAATTTCAGTAATGTTAAAAAAACCTTTTTTATAAGTTTAGCTCAAAATGTTAGAATATTATGTAAGATGGAATATTATGTAAAATGGGCTTAAATAAAATAATTTTTCTGTAATGTTTTTATAAGTCTGCTTCCAATATTCTAAATTTTCATCAGTTGCATACGTCCTATTAAGTTGACATTTGACACACCTATATATCTTCAATGCAAAAATTAAGCATTGAATTAGTCTTATGATGGTAACACTAGGTGACCGTAGGAATACTTCATTGAAGGTGTCAATGAAATGATATAACCATTAGTTAGGTAATTTTTTTTTATACTTTAATATATCCACAAAATTTAAATTTAATTTCAGAATATTTGTTTATTAAAACTTTAATGCTCAAATACATAAATAAAGGTGCACATGGCGGACTTAACACCTTGAGGTATTTTCTCCCTGTCAACCATTGGACAAACAGAGATTTATGTAGGCGGTGCATTAACAAAATTTGTAATTTAAATCTATAAAAAAATAAAGAAGAGAACTTTAATATGATTAAAAATAAATACATAAACACAACAATACACTAATATACAATATTTACCTTATATATACTCTTACCTATCTCCTTAAACTAACATAGCATTATATAACAAGAGATTTATATTCCTTAGGGAATAGAATACAAATTCTTTATTTAATTTTCAAATTAATTATTGCGATTGAAATTAGAACCTTGTATTCGACCGAGATCTCACAAAATTTTTGATTGATATTTTTTATAATTTCTCAAACAAATACATGAAATATTTACCTATCCAAATGAGACCAAAAAAATAAAATAGAAATTCTTTATTTATATATCAGATCAACTATTACGTTTGAAATTAGAACGTCGAAGCCGAGAGCTCACAAAAGATTACACAATTCTTTTAATTTTACAAAGAATTCTTAAATCTTTTCCTTTCCAGATGGAACATAAAAAGATAGTTTTCCAAAATAAAAAATTGGTAATTTAAAATATTTTATAAATTTACAAATTCGTTTCCTTTGTTCCAGACACCCACTCATCAACTCCTGTGGTGTGTTTAGTAATCGAAGGAGGTACTAACACAGTGCGAGCAGTGTTGGAGTATGTGACTGACAATCCTCCTGTGCCAGTAGTGGTCTGTGATGGCAGTGGAAGGGCAGCTGATCTTATTGCTTTTGTTCACAAGTGAGTTACATATATGAATTTTATAGCTAAACTAACTCAAAACATATGTTTTCTTTTCATCCACAGTATTTTGTAAACAGAATAACAATTATACAGTATAGAAGAATGAAAAACTCAGAATAAAATTTGAGTATCTTTAGTATCCAATGGTCACAAAACTATCTTCACTCAATTCAAACATTAATGTTTATCAGCATGATTGTTAGTCAAAAGCCTTGACTACTTTTTCTATGAAGGTTATATATTTATAAAATAAATGTTTAAATACCTATATAAATATATATATATTGAAGACTATGTTTTGGCCTTGATGGCACTGTTTGAGTTGTTGTAGATTATTTATTAATTATAAAAACCTATACTATATTACAAGAGTATTTAGAGTCGCTTATCTATGCTTGTGATCACTTACATACTTTGTCACAGTTACACACTATTAAATATATGATTTAAAATATTTCGTGTATTCAAAGATGACACACTGTGACCAAGTACTGAAGCATGTACATGTGGACGTATGTGCCTGTACTTATATGCTCGAGTTAGTAATTTTAAAATTAGCAATGGTCTATGACAAACAAATTTAATTTCCATCATGGAAGTTGTTCGAAATTTAAATAAATTTCTCATTAGCGAACTGTATGTATCTGGCCAGCTACAACTTTGTGCGTTGGGGTGTAAATGTGACGTAAACATAATTTAATTACACAGAACTTTGCATGACATAATTACTTAATAATGGGTTACACATTATAATAATTAAATCTGTTAATAGTCAACTTAAGTAATTACTCAAGCGTCAGCTGCAGTATGTATGCTTTATTGTAATAATAAACACTTTAATTGTATCACTACGCATTATTTTTGTTAATGTTAGTTTCTAAAGAGAATAAAAATCTTTTTATATAAATATTTTATCTATGCAGTAACTGTTATATTAACAGAATTGTAATATTAATAGAATTGCATATTAGAAAATTAATAAATTTTAGTTAATAATATAAAATAAAATATACTTGCCTATACAATAAAATATCATTAGTCCATATCAGTCCACTATTAAATATAGGCCTCTCCTAAGGCACAACTATGAGTATTAATTTTTATATAACTTTATATTTTACAAACACTTATGACTATTCTCTCTTCGCATCATAAAAGTATAAAAATAAAATTTAAAAAAATCTTGTCAAAAACAGAAAAGCATTACAGTGAGGAAAATCTACTAATTTTCGCTAAAATTAATTTACTGTGCTTATACTCGTAGAATAAGCTTTCTCGATGAAAGCATCGCGAAAACGGGAAAGAATATTTAAAAAGCCTTCAAATTATTTTTTTCTGAAAACGACATGTTTGCTAAAAATTGTATAGAATAAATTATTTTAAAATATCTTTTATATTACTAGCTGACCTGTGTCCACTTTGGACGCTGAACATTTTTTTTATGTCAGTTATCGACCGTCGAAAACAGGAAATGATTAAAAAACTAATATCGCTATTAAATATAGGGATTTACGGAAAAAATTTAGGGTAAATTTAGACGGAAATATAGGGTTCTAATTTATAACAACGAATCATAAAAACTTTAACTTATTAAAGTTAAAACCATCAAAATTTGGGTGAACAACCCTTATTATATAGTTCATATTGCTCTCAGACTGTATTCTCGGAATAATCACTCAAAATTTCGGAATCCGTCAAGCAGTTTTTGAGGAGATTTGTTGCAAACACTGTGATTGCAAACACGAGAACTTGTATGCGTGTTGGTGACTTTTTCAATACATTTTAGTTGCGTAAATATGTATATATATATTTGCAATTTTAAATATGTGTTGTCGTTACATTGAAAATATCGAAATCATTTCACGCTTAAGTTATAAAATATTGTTTCTCTTCATATTTCAGATTAGGTTTTCTAGACTAGTAGTTTTGCCTCTACCTTAATAGTGAGAACAAACGATTTCAAGTATACTTGCCTCATCTATAATCGTATTTAATGTTTTTTACTTTTATTTTTAATATATTTGTTTATGCGTATGCTTGTTTATAATGAATCAATTAAATAAATACTTTTACCAATTTTAATGTTTCTGTCACATATGTATAAATATTAGATATAGACTAATTATAAACTAGCAATAAGTTTTTATGTATCGTATTACACGTATGCCGGGGAGACAGCCAAGCATTGAAAACATAATAATTTCTTTTTTTTATATCTGACTATGGTGATAAACAAGCAGCATTTTGCTCTTGTTTACCACCACCTTTTAAATAGCATTATGCTCCATTTTCTATTCTAATAAAGTAAAATTACTAGGTTAGAATATATTTTACCGGAAATAAACCTTACAGCACCGCGCCTACAATACAGGCCTCAAGAGATTTGCTGGTTTTCTATCACTTAGAAACGTCCTGAAGATCTTTTATTTTTTTTGTCGTTATCTTTTCAGCCGAGATACTTTTATACGACTTGAAGTAGCAGAAAACGTTGAGAGCCCATTTGGGCTTCAACGACGCTTTACGCGAAATATTATAGGGTTTGTTTTGTATAGCCTATCTTGTTTAATAGGCTTATCGTGCTAAGGACGTCGTTTTAAATCAAATAAAATCAAAAATTATATATACATATAAATAATTTTTTTATTTATACTTTCTATCTTATCTTCACTGGGAAATTTAACATTTAGATACAGTTAAAGTAAATAATAGGGATTCTATTTATCAGGCAGTCTGCCAAATGGAAAATGGTAACGTTTTTTTATTATATAAGACAGAACATGTAGGACCACATTATCTGCTTCTTCCTTATCCCATTTATTTGTGGCCGGCGTAATATGTTTTTCTCTTCCATTTATACCTGTTCGCAGTCATCGCGTTATTTACTCCCTTTCTTACCGTATCATCTTTCATACAGTCTATCCATCTCTTTTTCGGTCTTCCTCTGCCCTTATAACCATCCACATTCATATGTAACACCTTCCTTAAAATATTATTCTCATTCCTACGTATTACATGTCCATGCCATGTTAGACTATTACTCTTCAACCTCTCTGACATCGGTGCCTTACTATCATACATGTATGTATAGGACCACAACTTTATAGCTAACCTTGAACAATTCACTTTGAAAGTTTTAAATTAAGCGCAACTGAAGATATGAGTTTACTAGGCATTAAGATAAAATTTTTGAAAGAGTTTTTTTAAATACATATATTATAATCAGCTGCGCATGGTTTCACCCACGTGAAATAGCTTATGTGTTATTCTGATGTATATATATATATATATATATATAATATACGTTACTATAAAATTTCATCAAGATCCATTCAGAAGTTTTTGCATAAAAGAGTAACAAGCATCCATGCATCAATCCATACTCACAAACTTACGCGTTTCTGAGAAGTAAGATAGGATACGTAGAAAAGCACCCAGATTAATAATACAAATAGTTAGTCATGAAATTAAATGTTAATACTCAACAATCTTCGCAACCACCTGAAAACGAGTAGTACGCTAACTTCTAGACCATTGACGTAATTTGTACTGATTATGCCTTCCATTATGTTTCATGGTATGATTTTTACCTAAAATAAACATACAAAGATTATTCATCGAATAAATAATATTACAAAGATTTAAATTAAACTTTATACTTCAAGGCTTTGGTAGCAAATTACCTTGTCGCTCCAAGGGAAATACGCGTATTACAAGGCTGATACTGTAATATGGATACGGCTTTATTTTCCATTCCCCAGTAAATATTGGCTCACTTGATGAACACCGCTGTAGAAACTAAGCTTGGATGAGAGTTCATAATGGCGGAACAATTAAGATATTGTAATCCGTACTAATATTATGAGGGCGATAGTTTGTCTGTCTATTCCTTTTGACGACAAAACAGTTCTTCTTAATTAAATTTTACATTGATTATTCAAATTATAGTACAATTTTATAAAACAGATTGTATCATAAGAATCGATCAGCGATGGAAACTATAAATAATAAATAAATCTTGGACAATTAATACTGCGCCATCTAGAGTCTCACGGTAACCAGAGTTTGCGTTATGGGTACTAGACAATTGGTATAAAAACTTCGATATATTTTTTTAATATATACAAAGATACATATATATATATACATATAGAAAGCACCCAGACCGATACAAACAATTATACTTGTGAATACATATTTGTATTCATATTGCACGTGCGAGGAATCGAACCCGCGACCATTGGAAGTAAAGCGGTGTACTAAACCACTAGACACTCGCCGTCTTATTACAAAAAGATAAACCTGGTTTAGCACTAGTATAAACCATTGACCAAAGAATTCCTTATTACAAAACGAATTTTATCTCTAAACCGTGATTCGTCTATGGTCTAAAGTTAGACCTGTGATGCCCCTAGTTTAACAGTGGTCTAAACGAAAAACGTCAAACTCCATTTTTAAAATTTTATATTGTCAGTTGTTGTTTTATTGAAAATATCGGTATATGGATTTAGTGGATAATAGATGAAGATTTATATATATATAACCGACATCGTATTCGACAAAACCCGTTTGAGATGTGCGATAACGATTTTAAATATAAACATCGTTTTACAAAACGTTTTGGATTGAAAATAGTGGAAATTATTCATGAAAGTATAGTTCAAGACCCCCGAGGATGCCCTATATCACCTGAACTTCAAGTTGTATGCGCATTACGAAACTGGGCTACATGAATAAGTAACTGTATCTATTTTAATTCTATTGCCTAAGGTAACATCAAATATTGTAACATTTAATTATATCTTGTCTGCAGATTCAAGATGATACCGCTGATTTATATGGTATTTCACAACCCGTTGTCAGCAAAATTTGCAAGAAGGTAGCAGGTGCTTTAGCATCTGTGTCTTCAAGATTCATAAAAATGCCAGCCACTATAGCTGATCAAGAAGAAACAATGAGAAAGTTCCGTAGCATAGCTAATTTTCCCACCGTAATTGGTGCAATTGATTGCACACACATTAGAATAAAAAAAATAAATGCTGATGATGGTCAGCTATACATTAATAGGAAAGGATATCCATCATTAAATGTACAGGTAATGTTGTATTTAAGAATATATCTATATTGGGATATTAATGGTGATTGTGCATGCAAATATCTAGTGTCCCTAAAAGTTATAAAATTTTAATCATGAAATTGTAATTGGTAGGATAATCATACCATATGTAAGTCACCAAATGTGAATCTCCTATTTGGTCTTACCAATATACTCAAACATCTGTAGGTTATTATATATATATATATATAGTACACAGGATAAATAAATTGTCAATTTAAAAAGTAAATTTTTAAGTAATTAGGATATCATGTAATAATTTAGACTATAATTTTGTCAAAATAATAATGCTTTTATGTACATAATTTCTTAATTATTTTATTGTCAGTCACATTAAATCTCCAAGCATTGTATGTTAATATTTATTAAAAAAAGGAGATTAAGTAAGTCATAAATAGTACATTTTAATGTTTTCATTTTTCAGGTGGTTTGTAATGCGGACCTGAAAATTATGGACATTGTCACAAGGTGGCGTGGTAGTGTACATGATTCAAGAATATTTCGGGAGTGTAGACTAAAACAGAGGTTTGAAGCTGGGGCCTTCTCTGGAATATTACTAGGAGACAGTGGATATCCCTGCACTCCATATTTATTTACCCCGGTATTACATACTAATACTCCTCAGGAAGAAACTTATAACAGGTGTCATATACAGACACGTAACACAATTGAGAGATGTTTTGGGCTGTGGAAACAAAGATTTTGTCTATTAATATGTTTGGAGACATTGAAAAGCCAGAATGACAGTTGTAGCTTGTGCAGTGCTTCACAATATTGCAATAGATATGAAGGAAGACATTTTTCCTGGTGAGATTACTAGAGAATCTACTTCAAACACAGGGGTTTTACAACAAAATAACACACTTCGTGGTACTATTAGGAGAAGGCAGTTCATAGAAACTCATTTTTAGTTTAATTATTTATTTACACAACACAATCAGCCTTATATCAGTACACAGACACTCATTATATAGTATCAGCCTTAAAATCAGTAAAGACACTCTTTATTGTACAATATCAGCCTTAAAATCAGAATCAGGACATTGATTATTATATGTTTTTTATATTGTATGATGATTTTTAGATTTTAATAAATCTATTTCTAATTCTAATTTTTTTATTTTTAACTTCAATATTCTAATATTATATGCATGTTCAACTTCTAACATTTCCAAATTTCTTCTTTTAAATGCTATATTGTTTTGTACAATAGATTCTCTCATGTCATCTCTGTGAACAAAAAAATAATACCACATTAAATTATGAACAAGAACTCAGGGTGCAGATCAATATTCTAATAGTAGTATTTGTACTATATAGTATAATAACACTTAAAAAACTTATGTTTAGACAAATTGACTAGTTACAATTTTATATTAACATATGAAAAACATTCCAATGTATATGATTATTAACTTCTATCTTTGGAAATTTAAATTACAATAACCTTTGCAATAAAACATTGACATACTAATATTTCTAAATTTCATGTATCACTCCTAACATGCAAAGACAATTTATTTGTACATACTTCTTTTGCACCTCCTTCTTTGATTTCATTGCACGCTCCCTTTTATTTTCTTTATTATTTTGTAATGGTTCAACTATTGCTATAAATAAAAAAATTCTCAATTAATAATATTTATGAATGTATACAAATTTTACAACAGAATAAAAAGTTATTACACATACTTTTATACTTCATTTATACATATAAATAAAATTGGAGTATCTGTTTATAATATTGAAATAACCATGCATGCATATGAATATAAATATGTACATACACCTTAAATAACATTTTTTGTCTGTCTGTCTGTTTGTTCCGGCTAATCTCTGAAATTGCTGGACCAATTTTGATGGGACTTTTTTTTGGCAAGTAGCTGATGTAATAAGGAGTAACTTAGGCTACTTTTATTTTAGAAAAATAAATTAAATTCCATGTGGATGAAGTCGCGGGAACAGCTAGTTTATTAATAAAGTGTATTAATGTAGGTAGGTAAAATATGCTCTTGACATAAAGTGATACAAGCTACATAGCATGTTTTATTTCATAGTACTATAAATTAAAGAGAGAGATATTATCCTCTATGACAAATACTTATTATGTATGTCAAATTAAATGAAGATTAGTTAATCAGAAAGCCAAACATACACATTTATATTTAACTTAGCTATATAGCTATGCTAAATATAAATGTGTATGTTTTGCTAGTTTTGATAGTATATTTACCTTGTTCTTCCACAGTTTTGAGTATTGGCTCAGTGTCTGAGGTCAAATCAATATGATTTGAACTATGACCACTGACTTCATCCTGCTGAATTTGATTGTCCTCCTACAACCAAGTGGTATATTGTCAACATCAATATTGTTATTTACCACTACTATTATGTGTGCTATGATAATCATAAAAGAAACAATATGTATAATTTTTCATACAAAAATCATCAGCATTTTAGTGTGATGAAATTTTATTTACCTCATAAATTTATTGAATCAGAATAATCATTATATAGTAGATACAAACCATGGCAGTCACAGCATCACTGTCATAGGTGTTTATTTCCACCACAAAGTCTAGTGGTGCAATGGCCATAATATCCAAGTCTTCTTGGGATGGTGACTGTGGCTTTTCTCCACCACCAGTTTGTGACTGCTGTCGCTTGAAGCTGGATATGTTAGCTTTAGCCGATAATTTTAATCTTTTCCAGGCCATTTTTAATTCTTTGTCCAATCTATTGTTACCAGTAATTTCATTGAATCTAGAAATATTAGACATATATTAATAATATTTTGACAAGAAAGTTTGTAAGTATGTATGTTTGTTACTCTTTCACTCAAAAACTACTGAACGGATTTTGATGAAACTACAGTAGTATAGCTTATGCATGAGAATAACACATATGACTATATTTTATACTAACATTTATAGTTAACTATAATATTTAAAGCAAATGATACAAAAATAAAAATAATAATACAAATATAAATACGTACTTATTTGTTATTTTTTTCCACTCTTTGGACTTTAAAATATTTGCCGACGTTTTTGTTGATTTGTCCTCTATTATATGCGCCGATGCTGAAATAATTTCGCGTAATATTGCCTAAAACATTTAAAATAGTCGCTATTATTTCGCCATAAACTGTATTAAAACTCAATTGACTGAATTTTATAGTTTATAAGTACTAACTTTTTCTTCTGGTGTCCAATTTGCACTCCTTTTCTTTTGTAAGCTCATAATTTTAAATATTTTTGTACTTTATAATTATTGAAAAAAATTGCTAAAAAACTTTTGTTTTTCATTATATGCAGTAATGGCGCGATGTTATGATTCGAAACGAAGTGATAAAAATACAAGATACGTTCCTGTTCTCCGTGTACTTTCAAAATATAAAACAGATTTTAAATGTAATACCATGTTAATAAATATTACATATTAATAAAATAGTTATAAAGAAGACATAAATAAATACATATATAAATATTTTTATTTGATACAATTTTCCTTGAAGTAATATTATTTTTTATCATTTCAGTTTTCTGGTAAAACGGAACGCAATTGTAGGCTGACAGAGATGAATGACTGATTTCTGTATATTATCTGTGGGGAATATATAATGAACGATTTAACTGTAGCACTAAGTAGACCTCTGTTAAATCTGGATTCATAATAATGTTCGGTTTATTCCAAGTATTAACTTTAGGAATGGTTTAAACCTCGACTATTTAGACCACGTTTCGTCCGAGTTTTAACAGATTTTTTGTAATAAGACCGTCGAGGTTAGCATTACGCTGAGTTTGGTCCACATTGACTCTTATCTGTTTTTAATGTTTATATTGCTTGTAAAATACAAGCAATATGTAATTATTGTTGTGTTACACAAGGAGTCAATAATATTATATTTTATTGTATATCAAAAATATATTTAACTATATCAAAAATATTATTTAACGAATTCACATGTATATTATGGACAAAGGTTTTGAGAACCTCATCTATAATGATTGCAGCTTATGTTTCCAAACTTGTTTTAGGGTTCTGAGTTCCAGTCCCTTATGCTACTTTGTTCGTCCGTCTGTTACAGCATGACTACGATGATGTTGCTTGCATATAAGAAACAAACACTCTAATACGCGTAAAATTTCCATTCTCTTGTAAATATTGAACATCACCATTCTGGAAACTATGCTTGAAAGAGAATACTTAATGGAGAAGCAATAAAGACATTGTAATGTCAAACAAAAAGATATTCAGCAATACGTTTTCTACTTTCAACCAAAAAATTGTTTCCTATACTATGTATGTACCTTGTCTGTCAGTATATCTAGCATAAATTTTTTATAAAAAAAAAAATACTGTTACTTTTGGAAATCCGTTTTGAATTAAAACAGCAATACCGACTTAGAAATTTTTGTTTGTGTTATTTGACTTTTTTGTATTGTTATGTATGTGTATGCTGAATATACCTATATATCTTCATCTATCTAATAAAATCTGAAGACGGATCTTTTATATATTTTCTTAGAAAAAACATGATTTTACAAATAAATAAGCCTTACCAAACATAGTCACTAATATTTTATTAAGATTTTTCTTTTAATCTTCTACGGAGTACATATTCTTTTAATTTCTGTACGGAGGCATCCACTGTAATGTCATCTCATGATGTCAGGTTGGCAGGGGACTGTTAATTGCCATTAATCTACCATGTTAGTTAAAGAAAAAACTATGAAAACCATCGTGGCCCCATCAATTTCGTTAGTGCAGGAGAGTGAACCAGTACATTTACATTATCATCGCAAAAATAAATGGAGCTGTTCATGTACATAGGCTAAAGTCGCTAGTGTACAATAGGGTAGACACTCTCGGTGGGCTGTCAGCTTGTTTGCCAAAGTTACACAAACAATCTTTATTGACTTGACTTCTCCACGGGACTGTACAATGATTATTCATTGCAGGTATGCATCGGAGAGCGGAGAACAAACAGTGCTGGAGTCGATGCGGGACTTTGTAATAGGCACCATACAGAAAACCTTCGAAGTTGGACTCCAACAAGCAGAGTGTCTGTACAGCGAATTATTGCAATGCACGCGGAAAAAGAACTTGGTGAGTGTGCTTAAAGCATGTTATTCTTTAATAGATGGTAGTGGCGACATACTTTAGTGGTATTCGCTAGCAGGGTAGCAATGAAGGACGAGAAGATGAGCAGGAAATTGGTCTGTTAGTCTATTTGGAGACTTATCCAGGTATTGATCATGGTGATAAACGAGAACTGCATGTGAATCGAACAACTAAACCAATAAAATCTGTCCCTTTTCGAAGCATTTACGCCCAATATATAGATATACAGATTCACTTTGAGTAGGTATATGTAAAATAGTTAAAATAAAATGTATTTCAATTTGTAACTATACTTCTATATATATATGAATACCTATTTCCCTTGGCCAGTGTATCACGCGTAAACTGATTATGCTAATTCTTTTTTTGTTGTGATCGTTATTCTTAAGAGAAGGTTCTTATGAAAGAATAAACTAAGAAAATTGCACAGAACATAAGAAAAGTTAAGTGTCATTAAGTTTTCTTCAATGTTTATTTAATATTCATAGTTAAGACAGATCAACGTTTGACGGGTCCCCTAAGTTTAAAATAAAGTTTTATTAAGTAGCAACCTATACGAGGTATTGCTGGCGCCATACGATAATCTGATGTCCTTATTGCTCTTCATATATATATACATATATAAACGACAGTGACCACTTACCATCAGGTGCACTATAAGCTTGTTCGCCATTTCAATTCAAGATTCAAGATTCAATTTTCTTTATTTGTATAATTAAATTACATAAAAAGCCGTAAATATTCGGAATAATTAAGCAACAGGAATTAAAACTGAATGTGTTTAAAACAATGAGGAAAAAACCGCGTTTCTGTAGAATCGCTTTTGTGTTTAGCTAAAATTTCATTAATTAAAGAGTACTTAATTGTATAATATTAAGCTTGTACGGGATACCTTTTGTACTGGCACGTAACGGAATTTGCATTCCAAAATTGAATATTTGCAAATAGAAAATACGAAAAAAAAAATTATTACCGATATTTCATTTGGCGTACCTTTAATCAAAGAAACACTTGGTTTTACGAGTTAGCACTACCCCTACGAGAAAGAAACCTATTTGAAGATAATGAATTTATTGAACCATGTAGTGATGAATATTATACTAAAAAATGGGGTGCACAGTTCATACAAATATTCTTTCCTAAGTCTGATCATACTTAAATAAGAAACTTTAAAAGAACCTGTATACATATTCATATCAATAATTACATTACAACTACTTCTACAGCTTGCCAACTTACATTGAAAATTGTGGTTACACTTGACGGGTGAGATATGGCAGTGAATTTATATATAAGGAGCCATAAAAACTTAGCTCAGGAATTGCCTGACCTGACCTTGCCTATCTATCTATCTAGAGACCTTGTGACCTATCCACAGATGTCACAAGGTTTTTGTGGAATCCATAGTTCGTTTACTAGTTGATTGTTAGAAATTATTTTTTCCGACGCAGACTATCCTCTTGTTATTATGTAAGCTCATTACAGTTACAAAGCGTGCCCTATACACTATTCGATTCTAGTATTCTATGATATGAACTCGTTTGGTAGAAGCCAATTTCTCGACCATAAATGGAGATCTTGTTAGCGGAGGCAGGAGGTATAAAGAACTGAATTGGATCTGAAAATAAGGGAAAGATAAAAGGATCGACAGGAAATTCTCTTGAATTGAATATATATGCCCTTTGACTGACGTAACGAGATACATCGCATTCAAAGAAACAAGTAAATTTAAAGATACATGCACTAATGCTTGTATTGAACAGATTTACATGTTTTATTCAATCGTAAATATTACATAATTTTATTATTAATTCCCGTACATCGTCATCATCAAGGCATACTCGTATTAGATTATATATTTTATTACTTAAAATGTATTAAAATAACAAAAGATTTTATTTTGATTTTATTTTAAACAACTGTACTTTCTTTTTTTTCATTTTTTTTCACTAGCCTACTCTAATTCAAACACTAAAGGCTAAAAGTTTATTTGTCCTTCAAGTTACATAAAAAAAAATAGTATACTTTATTGAATAGATAATAAGTTTATATTATTAAGAAATACATAGTGATTATTTGCTTACTGACATCACTTTGAGGGCGCCACCTTCACCTCTTACTTACTTTTGACGGCCTCGGTGGCTAGCGGTTTAGCATACTGCCTTAGTTCCAATGGTCGCGGGTTCGATTCCTCGCACGGCACAAACATTTGTATACATGAGTATGATTGTTTGTATCGGTCTGGGTGTTTTCTATGTTTTTACTTATTGTACTCAAAGTAATATTGATTAACATAAGAAATCTTACGCAATTATAGTGTTTTAATATCCCAAACCAATATATTTAATACTAGCTGTGCAGGTGATTTCGTCCGCATGGAATTTAACTTTATTTTTCTAAAAAAAAGAATTTTTCTAAAATAAAAGTAGCATAAGTTACTCCTTATTACATCAGCTATCTGACAAAAAATAGTCCCGTTAAAATCGGTCCAGTCATTTCAGAAATTAGCCGGAACAAACAGACAGACAGACAGATAAAAATTGTAAAAAAAATATTTTGGTGTATGTACCGTATTTATATTCATATGCATGTAGTAAGAAGCGGTTATTTCAATATTACAAACAGACACTCCAATTTTATTTATATGTATAGTTGAAGGTTTTGATTATAATGCAAACTAATACCTAAAAAATACCTTCGGAAAAAAAAATACCTTTCTAAAGGAAAATCAGAGATTATGTCGGCATTTTCCAACATTGACATTTCGCAACTTTAATCCGCTCTCCGTTGAGGTTGGATATTGACTTTTGATAAATGGAACTGTTTACTACAAAATTTAAGCCTCTACTAAAGATAAGAACTTGTCAAGTGTCATAGAAATTCATGGAAATGGTTATGCAATTTCTAAATATTTAATGCCAAAATATTATATAATACATTTATATCTATCCACCAGAGGTGTTTCGGGCCTTGCTTTCTCACTATATTAGCTCATTTTAGTAAATATTTATAAAATATATATAGTATTACAATATCAGTAAAAATACATCTTTATATCTTTCGATAATATATAGCAAACTACCCACGACAACGTTTGCGTGAAATAGTGACTTTGGATAGCATTTTATTTTTTACAAATTTTGAATTTCATGTTTATTTATATTTAATCAATAGCCTAAAAAATAAAAATTACGATACCTACATACAACTTTTCATTTCCATTTTCAACCCCTTTCTTCACACTAAAATGTAGCCAGACAGACAAAGTTACTTTCCCATTTATAATATAAGTAAGGATTAATCTTAAATACAAATGTATAATTGAGAGCCTTACTAGTATTTAAAATAGAGTGCTGTGAACGACAATCCGACTCATCAAACATCAAAGGTTTACTTATTTTGTTTAGAAATTCAAAAGAAGTAAGGATAATATTAGTAAAAACAAATTACAGTAATAGTACAGTAATATATTTACTATATGTTATCAACGTAAATCATTATACAATAACAGTGCACCTAATATACCCTGTGGAACTCCTCATAGCACCAGATTGCCTGAAGGTGTCAATTAATGCGCTAACGAGCCACCCCTACCGATTCATGGAATCATTACGCCCACCTTTCATATCCCAAAGGAAAATTATCTTTTAAAAGGCGATTCGTAATTAGATCGCTGATTAACATTCTCAAACGCCACCAATAAAATCGAAATGAGATAAATAACGGTAGATATTTCTAATTAGTTATTCAAATTTGCTGAATCTTATCTCTTATCCTTAGAGATATTTATTAAAGACTATAGATGAGCCCGCGACTTTGTATCCCTATAACTATTTTGTTTGTATATTTGTTTTTAGTTTGATTATCGCACCCATAGTGATTAAGCTGTTTGTGAGATTAGCATGTACGTATAAGTTCACAGATAAACGGATAAAATTTCTTACAATCAATATTTTTGTTTCTTCCAGTTACATTTTTTATATATGTATAATTAATATTTCTCTTAAATTAAACTGAAATGATTATGCTTTAGCTATAGAATACTATGTGTATTCTTCATTCATTAGATTTAAAGATTCATATGAAAACTTTCCTTAAATCTACTTTCTAAATTATGAATACGTCCTTTTCGATTGACTTAAGTGTATAAATATAGTCGACATTGTAATCATAATATTTACTTACATAAATATTTTCTATACAAATAAGTAAAATTAAAGTGTCTGTTTGTAATTTCAAATTAGGAGCTTTTCACTAAATGCATACGAAACTACATACATTACTTACATCAAAATGTTAATTCAAAAATTCTTGTCTGTCTATGTGTTTGTCTTTCTAAATCGCTGAAACAGCTGTACAGATTGTGACTGGACTTTCACTCGTAGATACCTAATATTATAAGGAGACTACCTTTAGCATAGAAATTTTATTTATTTCAATAAAAAAAGTTAAATTCCACGCAGACGGAGTGTCAAGTAACAGCTCGTCATTACTATATTGAAACGATCATGTCTACCCCATCTGTTGCCTCAAGTCTACTGTCGAAGTAATCAAGTGAAAATACCGTGACTTCTCAATTTGAAATATTGCATTTACCATTGCAATATCTTATGATTTTTCATCTGTACCCTTCAAGATTTTAATCAAAACTTTTCAATCTTATAACCTTATATATAAAATGCTGACTCAAAATTATCCCCCCTTTGTTCAATTACTAGATCTCTATGTGATGAAGGTGATATTGTCTCAATAAAACCGAATTCGAAATCTCTCCGTTCGACATCCATGAGCCCCTACATATATAACGCAATCTAAACTTTATTGCCTCCGAATTGAGTTGTAAACGGGTTTTGGCAAGTTAAACGACGTGCGAACCCGCTTATGAAAGACGAAAAGATTTTTATGGAAGAAAGAACGCAATTAACCTTTCAAGACCCCTTAAATGATTTAGGGAGTTCGAAGAGGATGAAATCTTTGTCTGGAAATGGCAGTCGTACGGTTTATCAATATACTCGTAATAAATTAAACTTTATGAAATAAAAAAAAACTACTCGAAAATTACTTGGGGTTATAGGGACCTAGTGGATTAATATGCTCAAATTGTGTGATGTGAGTTGAGATCTGGCGAACATCAAAAAAATCTTTGTCTCTCTGTCTCTCTAATGTTAAAAACATCAATGTGGTCCGAGAGACAGCTGCAGACTATATTATCTATCCTTAATATAATATATATATATTAGTAAGCTACATAGCTTCGGCCCTCAACTTCATCTGCGTGAACATAATTGGCAGGGCTGAAAATCATGATTCATACACATATATGTGAAATTTTATTATGATTGAGTAAGCCATAAAACCATATTAAACAGACAATAACGGAAAATAATTCTCCTGAAAATAGGTTTAGTTAGAATTATTTGTAATAACGAATCTCTTATCGATAATGTACGGGATTGTAAGAATAATGCGGGAGATGAAAACCGAGACCAAATAAGAGCACCGTCTTGTCCTAAATATTTTTAAAACAGTCAGACTTAAACGAATGAATAATTAAAACAAGAGATATACGAGTACAAAATAGTTATCAATAGATCAAAACACCAATTTTAAAATTAATATATTTTAGCTATTAAACGGTTTGTTTCATTCTTTCGAGCTATATTTCAAATTTAAATGAAATCACAAAACACTATAAGTATGTATTATTATGTTATCTGTGCTATAAGTAAGAAAAGTTTGTAGGAGGTGTTTTTTTTTTGGGAATTAATGACGATGGAAGATATTTATAATACCTTCCATCTGTAGTCTACCACTGATAGTACTACTAAAATCACAAAACACATTATGACGCATAAAGATAACATTCTCTTGGGTTGTCTAAGAACTAGGGTGACATAAAATCATATTCTGTAATATCGTTGCCATATCTCGGTTTTGCTAAAGTAATATTAGGAAGAGGACGATTTGTTTTTATCAACGTTTACACAATACAATTTTTGTTACAATTTTTGTCTCTTTATATGTACGATGTGCGCGCTTACCTCAGAAACGTGCTAACCGATTTGCGTGCGATATTCACAAATATGTTCCGGTTGGCTTTGTTACAAATTTGTGTTCATTTTTTTACCTGTAACAACCAACCAAGCAACCTGTGTAGATCTATTGTTCTCGCCCTTATTCAAACTTCGCTACCTACACCCATGAGGGACAAGAATTTAAGGATATTCTTAGCAGCCATGTTTATCTCTATCTCCTCAGAATAGAGTTTGTTTGTTTTCATTGCAGTCGGTGTACAAAGAAAACGTTATATAGATACAAAGTCACTAGTTGGTGAATAAGAAGATACTTTTATCCAACAGCCATATCAGACGATGCCAGTTTCTGAACATACATTCTGTTTTAGCTGACAACGCACGCCTTCATATACAAAGCAATTTATTTATATTAACACAATAAAGCGACGGTATACTAATTTACTTCGGTCGTTTACTGAAATAACTCAATTTAACGTATGAATTAAGTATTAGGACCCTGTTGCACGGTCACTTGACTAAATCTGAATATTAGTAGGTATTTTAGTTTATTCTTACAGATTTATGTTTATATGAGCTTGTAACATGGGAGGGTCTACCCTGACTTAAACCAAGGTCTTGAGTTCAATATTGATAGCCTCTTTACGTGCCAATTTATATTTCTGACTGACTCTCCAGTGAATGACATAGTGTAAACAAACCAAAAATTATCCGGCAGTAGGCTCGCCCCCTGCCAGATTGGCTTCAAATTTACCAAGCGAAATGTGGGCTGGTCAGGTGTTGGGTTCACCACGATGCCGATAAAATAAACAATTCCTCTGACTACATCATCTGGGATAACACTCGTTATGATATGTTTATATATTATATCCATACTTGGAATTATATTAATTTATGCGGAGGAATGAGGACCATGTCTTATGGAAAGTGTATAATATGAATGTAAAGGGAGGGGACGCCCTAAGAAAAGATTGATGGATTGTGTGAAAGATGATATGAATAGAAGAAGAGTATGTTTAGATATGACGACCGATAGAGAGCAGTGGAAGAGAATGACATACTGCGCCGACCCCAAATAATGGGATAACGGCAAGGCAATGAATGAATCCATACTTGGAACAGAAAACATTTAGCTCTGTAGCTGAAACTTTAGATCGTGAAATCACCACAGCAATTATAGATAATATCATATGATATCATACATTATATAGAACAAAAGCGCTGTCGCTATCTGTACACTTAAGACCTATTTAATTACAAAACGGGTTTTAATGCAGGTCGCAATAATACATAATAATGATAATAAACTTTATACAATACACACAGTGCCATCTAGTCCCAAGTTAAGCAGAGCTTGTATTATGAGTACTATACAACTGATATAGATATATATATATTTTTAAATGCATACATAATATACGTAGAAAATACCCAGACTGACATAAACAATCGTACTCATGAATACAAATTAATGTTTGTGCCGTGCGAGGAATCGAACCCGCGAACATTGGAATTAAACGGCTAAACTACCGAGGCCATCAGCAATATAATAAAGGTATAATAAACCTAGAAATTCAGTCGTCCGAAGCACTAGCTAACCTTAGTACTAATTATACAGTAGATTTAGTTTATTTTCTTAATGTAACCCGCATCAACCATAACATCTTTATTTTTAGTCAGGGGTTGGACGGACGGGTGGTTACCTTGAGACTCCTACTCACTAACAATACCTCGTTGTTTAAAACATAGATTTAAAACGCCATATTTTTGGTAAAATGTACCAAATTAAGATATTAGTCAGTTGAACTGGTACATTTTAATTTATATACAAGTTTAACTACACGACTACAACAGTTCCAATTAGGCTTTAATCTTTGAGTACAAAACAATAGAATTTAGTGAGTAACAAACTCAATTACAGGTTACAGCGGCACATTTATTGAACGAAAACGGAACAACACTAATATCATTACAGAGATCTTGATAGAATCCACAGTCCTGCAATAATTTGGGCTCTGTGATGTGCCGAATAAAGTTATACAACAATCTCTCTGGCCGCTAAAGTGATTGTTATTTTAAAAGTTAATAGAAAATGAAATAAACTAAATTTAATCACGTTTGAATAGTCATATTTTTTTAATTCTACCACTCATTCGGTACGTAGACTCATCATGAATGAAATGTTTCATTTCATTCATGATTATGTGTTAATCTTATGAATAATTAAAAAAAATATTGTTGTCATAAAGTTGTTTTACTTTTGCATTAACAAGGTTACAGGTGCATGCGAAAATCAACATAGAAACCGCTACGCACTCATTATTTGTGCAATTAGATAATACTGTCAGCACTATGATTTTTTAAGATTTTTTCTACAAAAACATTATTATCATTTACAAACTCTGCAAATCGCGTCCCAAAATCACCTAACATAATTTAATTACTTAATGGATTTGTATTATTTTGTTTAATTCCGCCATTATTAGCATGTGTGAGACTACAAACATTCAGTGCAGAAACCTGCAGAAAACTGCTGCCGGAAACGTTACGACCTTGCCCGCCAGTGATCAAACTGACCGTTATCGAATCTACACCAATATAGTGACACCTGTTTTGCCTCTAATTGAGACATTATAAGACAATGAATAGGGTTTAGATACAGTTTGGAAGCCTACTGTTGACTCTTCGACGACCAGACTATACTCGTACAAGGCTTCCAAACAAAATATTTATGGTCTCACACATGTTACTAGTAGCGGAATAAAACAAAAATACAAATCCATTAAGTAATGAAATGGATTTCCCCAAAATAACACATAATTCGATAAAATACATGATTTACTTATTTAGATTTACACGTCTAAGTTTATATAATCATTTTGTAATTAATAAACTTTATTCAATAAGTGTGTCTAAAGATTTTTTCATTAAAAGCTGTGGTAGTCACAGTGGTCTATAACCCACATCTTTGATTTTGTAAAAAACCGATTACCATTAGGATGTAATATTTCTAAACCGATACTATAATAATACAACACATTTCTTCCTAAAAGACCAATAATGTATCTACAATCCCTATTGTCATGGACGCTGGTAATCACTTACCACCAGGCTCAGTTACCGCTCTTCTCTATTTAAAATAAATCAGACAGACCATTGGCTTCAGTGTTACCCTCGTTGTATTAAAATTGTAACCATATATATAAATATCTTCTCTTTTCAGATAACAGTGTTCAGAATACAAGAGCGAGCAGAAGGTGGTGAAGTCCAGGAGTTGGATCAAGTAATCCTTACAGCGCTGTTCAGGGCCCAACACTTGTCACCCAGTGAACAATTATCACTCGCGCTTACGTGGAACCGCGTCGATATCGCCAGGTCCGAAATCTTCGTGTACGGACAAGAATGGCCTCCAGGTTAGTATTTTTTTTTATAGAACTGCATTAGCAGGCTAATGAGGCACCTGATGGAAAGTGAAAACCGCCTAAAGATGTGTGCTATTACTAGAGCATTTAGGCCGTCCTAGATACCTAATGAATTGTCATTTCTGAGGACTTAGTTGTCATGTAATTTCACTAACATTACTAATCCTTCAAGCTTATGCTTGAGCTTATCAGTAGAATATTTCATATATTCTAGTAGAATAAAGTAGTGCTATAAATAGATCAGACCGTCGAAACCTAGCGATTTACTGTCCTGAATTACATTCATGAATAGTTACTTTACATATTAAGTGATATATCTGATTCTATGATGAAAGTTATTCAGATATCAAACCAAAATTTTATTCGAGAGAAGGCGTAAGGCTCGTGGCCGTCCACGTTAAATTCGTATATACATAAAAATGTGGGCATATCTAGTGTTGTAGTCTACGACATCTACAGTTAATAATGTCTGTATCTATAACAACTAGGGATATAGTTGAGACGGTACGAGTGAAAGGAATAGATATACAGAAAAAGTAACTGTTAAAGTTTAATGCAAAGTCAGCTCTTTTTGCGAGACTGAGTTCCTGTTATTTAACTTACATTGCAAACATTTGTACCCGTACCGCAAATGAAAAGAGGTTAACCAAAGAGAGAGAGAGTAATCATTAGTTCTTCTAAAATTGCTTTTGCCGGGCATTTGGTCTATAGGGTATTAAAATAATTGTCTACACTTAAAGCTTTTTACACTCTGCGAAAGGAAATGCTGAAACGAAACGACATTGATTTCTCCATTTTTATTCCTTCATTTCAGTGAATAAAAATACATTTTATTTACTTTTTTATCCATTGTATGAAACATTTTAATATTTGCACCTATACTCACTCATCGAGGGTTTTTTATTTGATGCAAGAGTATTTTTATAATTAACTTACTGTCACTTTAAACCACTTAACCAATTGTTAAAAATATATACAAGTAAAGAGAGATAGACGAGAAAGAGAATTAAATAAAAGTATCTTGCTATGACTTCTTTATTTCTAAATAAATGTAGTGACAGCAATTACACTGCACCATATTCTATAATCGTGAATGAGTGCTACTTATAGGGACTTTTTACGTTACTAACTATGACAGATATTTCGCTACTATTATTGCTACTGATTATTTCTTGCTATTTGGCAGCTTCTATCCCCACAAAGTCTTAAATATGTAATGCTGAATAACATTTATTTAAAATAGCAACACGCAAGTTTGTCTCTATTGTCTTATGATGTGTCTGCTTTCTAAATTAACGATAGGATAAAAAAGATATTATATTACTATTCGAAAGTTCTTATATTAAGTGTATTTGAATAATCGTTATTTCTATTTATACTAATTAAAATACTATACAATACTGCTCTGGTATTGCTTCTTATTTTAGAGTCATGTGTACATTATTTTAATTTAGTTTGAAATACGTTGTAACGTACTATACAATCTCGCATCAAAGCGAAAAGGTTTTACTTGTCCAAATCAAAGTGCACATATCTCGGGAACCCACGTGCGTCGTAACCAGCTTTTAATGGTTTATGTTTGTCCAACGTAAACTGAACAAGGGTAAACCCCGGTAGATCGTGTTTGATTAACTCCATTTCAATCCCTACTTTGTAGGGTTCCGAAACAAAATAAGTAAACCTTTGACGTTTGACTAGTCCGATTGTCGTTTACAGCACTTTAATTTAGATACAATTAAGGTTCACATCGATATTGTCGAAATATCTAATATTTAAAAATATTAAAAGAAGGTAGTTTCATTATTACTCGGTATCGTTAAACTAGTTGCGTATAACCCCCACTCATATCTTCTCTGTATAAAAGGGAGGGTTTTGTAAGCCACGACACAGGATGTGCTGGTTGTATTTTAAATGCTAAAGTGAATTGTGTTAGAGATATAGTTAAATTAATGTTATATAGTTGTTATTTTATTATAATACACACTTTTACTAGTACATAGAGTTGAAATATCTTACACTAGTAACGCTATCAAGTTGTCATTTGTATTTGAGATCAATTGTAGGTACAATTAACCCAGACTTATCCAAAATATAAAAAAATATGCGCACCGACTACGGCAATCAAATGATTATTGCCGTTATTCTGGTATAAAAAAGACAAAATATATAGTTTTTTTTTTCAAATACTTTCAATATAAATTTATAATTTTTTAAACTAGCCTTACTAAAATTGCATTATTACGCTGAAAACCACACCATTATTGCATTTTCGGGTAAGGAAAATCCCTCAGTACAGTATAGTACACATTTAAGGGGGTCTTCCTATGTGACGGCCTGTTTTTTAGGGATATTTTAGGTTTTTTTTCTACGACCAGTAAATATTTAGAGCTTCAAGTTTTTTATCATTTATTAACACATATTTGGACAGTATAAATATAAAATTTCAGCTAAAAATATTCAGTCAAACTAGAGTTACAGCGCTCTGAACACCCCCGCCTCGAAAAAAAGAGCTCCCACTTCCTCCACGATTCCGGCTGATCGGCTTATCTGAAAAAAAAAAAAAAAACGGCGTTTTAATTTGTAGGCTTAAAAGCACGGAATGACCTATAATCAAATGAATATAAAAAAAATTGGATTTTTGATAGACATTTGAAATAAAAGTTGCAAATTAGGCGTTTTTTTTTTTTTGTTTTTTGCTATAAAAAAAATCGAAGTTTTGAAAATTTTCGATTGATAATAGTTCATTCCATGCGTTTACATATATTGAGTGTGCCCTGTTAATTTCAAGTAATTCGGTCCAGCCGTTTCTGAGATACAATGGAGGAAAGTTTGAAAAACACAGTTTTGAGAAAAACGCGTTTAAAGTTTCAAGTCCGTTAAAAACTATTAAAATATCAACTTACTCTCAATCGGCGATGCCTGGTCCATAGAGTATTCCTTCCTCTTCCTCGTGAAACTCTTTTAAAGCAGATTGTTCAGCTCTTGAGTCAATCCTGGCTTGTTTAACGACATCACTTACGCGCCGCTCAGAGCGTAAGATTCGCTTTTCATCCCGTTTCTCAACATACGCTTGGGCTTCACGACCAACAGGGCATCCCATAATCGACATAACTTTTAAAATACCTTGAAAACCTTCATTAAAGATAATAACTGCTAAGTAGCTAGCAATTTCAACAACCTTGGGACCAGAATGAAGATGTTTAGGAGCGAAAGTCCAAATCAAAGAATTCAAAGATTCGTTATTGTTTTGTGTCTCTGCTCCTAAACAACGAATTAATAATTCGTCTTTCGATAAATCTTCGAAAACCGGTTTGATAGCTTCTTGGACTTGCGGAATTAGAGGTGGTTTATCGTGATGAAATTGGTCCAGTTCATTATTAGCTTCAGCCTTACGCCACCTTTCCACTAAACTTTCTTTTTTTACTACGACATTTCCACTCGTACTTCCTTTCCGTCCACTCATTATGAAAAAAAATAATTTGTAGCTGTTGCTCTCTTCGAAGTTCAACCAAGACTAAAATAACTTCGGTAAAATATTATAACAATAGAAATTTCTGTTTAAGTCTGTAGAAACGTGTCTAAACTTGTATAAACAAATATATTAATAAAAGGGAGGCAGGTATAAAGCCGACGGTACACAATAGGCCCGGTCTCTAACTGCCAACTCACCGCTCCGAACCGCTCTTTCTTTTACCTGCTGTATCTTTAAAACGACTTCGAATTTTCTAAAATCGCTTTACTACCGTATTCTAGACATGTTAAGGGAGCAATTTATGAAAAAAAAAAAAAACCATTTTTTCAACCCATCACATAGGAAGACCCCCTTAATAAATATAATATTCTAATAATTATGTTTTATTAAAAGAGGTATTTAAAGTATTCTCCGAGAAACGAAAACATTAGTAATTAGAATGAAGTAACAAAAACAAATATGATCATAGTTACATTTAGCTAATTCAATTTATAGAATCTTGCATCTGTATAAGATCATTCTGAGCTTAAAATTTAAAATTATTTTAATTTATAAAGCTATATATACATCTATACTAATATTATGAAACTGAAGAGTTTGTTTTATCTCAGGAACTACTTGTTCGAATTGAAAAAATATTTTTGTGTTGGATAGTCCATTTGTCGAGGAAGGCTTTAAGCTATATAACATTACGTTACGACCAATAGAAGCGAAGAATCAGTGAAAAATGTAAACGGCGAAAATTATTCATATTTGAGGGCTTCCGCATCTTACGCAGCGCGAACGAACTCGTGGGCGTAGCTAGTATATTATAAAATTTTCGTGTCAGTGTTAATTGCCATACTCCGAAACTGCTTAATCAATTTTGATGAAATTTTATAAGTAGGTATACTCTTTGAATAGTTGTTATGTATTTTTATAGCCCTTATTGATAAGTGTGACTCATCCCTAAACATTTTATTTTTATTTTTGGACAATTTAGACAAGATATGTGTTCCCACCTACATAGACATTACTCTTTGACTATCTCATATTGGGATAACATTCTTGAAGGTTAGTTAATTGACTGAGATAGACTTTGTAAAATAATTACTTAATAATCTCACTGTATATAATATACTAGCTGTACACGCGACTTCGTCCGCGTGGAATTTAACTTTGTTTCTCGGATATAAAAGATTTTTTCTAAAATAAAAATAGCCTAAAGTAACTTATGCTATTTTTATTCCTTATTACATCAGCTACCTGCCAAAATAGTCCCGCCAAAATCGGTCTAGCCATTTCAGAGATTAGCCGGAACAAGCAGACAGACAAAAATTGTAATAAATGTTATTTTGGCGTATGTGCCGTATTTATATTCATATACACGTAGTAACGTAAAAAGTCACAACGACACACAAGTAAAAATGTCAATAAACAGACACTTTTATTTATATGTATAGATAAATGCTCTACAACCGAAACATAGCTTACAAAGCAAGCTGCTTAATGTCTGGAACAGGTGAGACTGAAGTACCCA